GTCTAAGTGATCCCTATGGATGTAGCTAAGAACCATAAAAGCATTATGTATGGGATGGAAAGGCTACAATTGCCTTATCTCAGAACCCACAGCACACATTGTCTCATGAGTTTTAGCAGAAGCATGTGAATCAATCAAATCATAAATATTTGGTTCTAATTTACCATGGCCCAGATTCTCCTCTCTCACCAGTGTAAATCAGGAGTAACTCCTGAGTAATATACGAGAATATAAAGTACCAAGAAAAAAGAATCACACTTCATGACTGCACCGATCCTTTGCCTCTTAATTTAATCCTTTTCTAGTGAAATAAGCATACAAAAACCAAGCATTGCTGTTTAGCTGGCATTCCATTCCAAAGTAAGATGAATAATACAGTAGAATGTGTACAGTAATTTTTGTATTCCAATTTACAGCCCAACTTTATTTTCACTATAATACATACTAGTTCTATAGCATGAAGGGTGATTTTGCACTGTGAACATAGATTTGCTTTTCATTATGCTTTAGAGTTTATTTTTCATTATGCTTTCTTTTGTAATGAATATTTTTAACTTCCTTTCTAAGGAATTCAGCGACTCTGATGGTACAATGTACTACAGGAGGTATCTGGAAGTTTCCAATACTGTTAATTGCCACTGAGCCAGACGTGGATGATGTCATCAATATTGAAGCAGCTGGCTTAAACAAGGAATCACTAGTTGGCTTTAGGCTTACAAGTCAGACAAGGTAATGACATCAAAACAATACGCGCGCGCGCACACACACACGTATGCATGTGTGACCAGTGTTTGAATATGTCCTATGGGCCATGGGGTTGGGCTGGTAGACAGTCATGGATCTGGGACTTCCCACTACCCACCATATACACATAATGCAGGAAAAATGTGAGACCTGAGACTGTGGTAGAAAGCAGGCATTTCATCCATGTGGGGTGTCTGTTCTGACCCAAAGAGATGATTTGTAGAATACAATTTATCCCTGGTATTTGATCATCAAATGGGACAAATTGGTCTGATACAACAGTAAGAATCCCATGGTATGTGACATTATGAAGCTGTGACCCAATCTTGTTACTAAATTAGGTCTCTTTAAAAAGCTGTGTTGCTTCCCTAAATTGTGGAAGTGTACCACTCAGAAATTTTTCTTTTGCTTTTATTATATAAGAAGTCAAAAGTCCACCTCTAATATGCTTTTTAATTAAATAATATCATTTTGTCTGAGTTCATTTCCTTTTCCATTGTCAGTACCATTTTCCTTGGTGGTATTAAAATAGTAATATCTTTTTTATGAGTCCTGTAAAAGATTGTCAGTAGTAATCTCAGTCTGATTGTAAAATAATTAATTCCCAGGATTGTCTTATAATTGTATAAAAGTATTATGTAAAGTATATATACTTCTCCAGTATAGTGCAAGGAAGTGAGATTAGCTGTGAGGTTTTTATTCCAATGAATTAAAACTATTGAAAAAATGAGCTAGAAACAAAAGTATAAAGCTAGTATTTAATCGGTTCATGGGTGTCTTTTTTTACTGAATAAAATGGCAGATGAATTAATAAATATATAGTTTTTAAATATATATCTATGTTTGTCATCATTGCAACCCTAGAATGAAAAAAATGCCTTGGTCCATCTTGCTCTTTTTTTAAAGAGCTTACTTCCAAAAGCTGAATATGGAAATTGGCAATTGTCAGAGGTTTGGATGGCTGTCAGGACTGATGTTTTCTCAAGACATTGCTAAAGGCACCTATAATGATATTCAAGTTACCAGCTTCAATAGACTAGGCTGTTTCAGGTACCCAAGTGAAGAAATTGCACTAGCAATGCCATAATCTGCTGGTAGATGTTTGATAGTAGTGAAGAGATATAATGTCCTCAAAAAAGGCATAATGAAGTCTGAATCATTACAGTTATATAAAAGGATCCTAATCATTTTACTCATATTCCACTGCTCTAACTAAAAGGTTATGGACCACAGATGCGTATGCAGAAGCTGAGAAGGTACGCTTGTGTCTGTGCAGAAGTCTGAATCAAATGTGCTATCTTACTAATAAAAGGGCTTTTAAAGAGAGTATGATGTCTAGTGCTACTAATTGGAACATTTCTCCTTTTTCCTGTTTTTCAGGAAATCTAATAAAGCAAATTCAGGAAACAGGCACTATGTTGTAGGCTGCATGCTGTCAGATGGGCTTTGCTTTGTTCTTTTAGGCAGTCCAGAGGCAATGGTCAGGGGTTTTGAGTGTGATTCTTCTGTACTAATCTGTGCTGGCTGTTTCTGATCACCTTGTTCTCAAGGTGTTTTCAAAATAGATCCCTTGAGGGCCTGTTCCATGATCTTTCAGTATCACAGTCAGGCTAACTGGTCTGCAGTTCCCCAGATCCTCCTTCTTCCCTTTCTTAAACTTGGGCATTATATTTGTCCTTTTTCAGTCTTCCAAGACCTCACCCGTCTTCCATGCAAATGGCTCTGAAATTACCTCAGTCAATTCCTTCAATACCCCAAGGTGCATCCCATCTTGCTTTGCCAACTTGAAAGCATGTAGTTCTCTAAATAATTTCTAACATGTTCTTTTACAACTCTGGGATATTTGTCTCCTTCCCTATCCTTCCTGCTAACTGCATTCAGCATCTGGTAGCTGCCAGGTTAGCCAACCTTTGCCAAGTAAGTCCGAGCAGCCAATTAAAGGAAATCAGTGTAGTTAATATTAGGGGTGCACCTATAGAGATTTTTGGGGCTGATACCAATACCTGATTTTTAAAGAGGCATATCAGCCCATACTGATCCGGTTTCCGATACCAGCCTGGCAGCTTGAAGAACAGTGTCCAGCTGGTAACTCTGTTGTGGTGGAAGGGGTGCAGGGAGGGAAGAGGTGTTTGGGCGGGGCAGATCAAGGTCCCTGTTGTGAGGGAGGAGTGGGTCTGGGCTTGGGGCAAGTGCTGGGACAAGCGCTGTCCAGTTGGGGTGGGGCAGGCATGGGACAGAGCCACAGCTTGTCCAGGGGGTGCGAGGAGGGGGGCAGGGCAGCTCATCCAGCACTCGCCTGCTCGTCTGGTGGCCCCCGCCACTGGTCCCGCCACTTGTCCAGGAGGGCATGGGGAGGAGGAGTGGCGTGTGCCCCTGGATCTGGATAGAGCAGGGTGGGGCGGGCTGGGCTGGGCTGGGGTTTAGTGGTTAGGGCAGGTACTCAGGAAGTGAGAAACCTGGGTTCTAGGACCTGCTCACCCACAGGGGTGTTTGAACCTGAATCTCTCTGAGTACATCTACATGTGCTATTGACACACAGCAATAAACTATGGTGTAAAGTGCACCGGAGTTTATTGCTCCCAGGTGCCACATTTGGACATGTATCCAGGACCTCAGCACAGTGAGCTGGGTCAGAGCAGCCCTGGCTGGCAGGGGACCCAGGTGGTCAGCCTGCAAGCCTGGAGCTGCTCTGACATGGCTCACTGTGCTGCATAGGGCTGACTGGGACATGAGGGTGCTGCAGTGCAGAAATAACAGGCAGGCAGGTCTCTTGCTTGTTCCCCAGCCAGCCCCATCAGCATCTACATGTGCATTGCTGTACACTAAAGCACTCAGCTACAGGGTGAGGCAGATTTAATTCATTTCCTAATATGGCCACATGTGTAGATATTGAGACTTTACTGCAGAGTCAATTAGGCACCTCTGCAGTAAAATTCTCATGTAGATGCACCCTTTTTGCTATGAGGACAATGCTTTAAACCATTCAATAAGTCAGTGAGTATGAGCCCAGGAGAAAGAGAATAAGATAGCATGTGGGTGACTCAGCGAGATGCCTGTTGGCTTGAAAAGGAATAGGCTCTGGGTTCTATCAAAGTATAAAGGAGGGGGCAAAAGTGGCCAGCTGGACAGCTAGAAAACTGCCTATTCTATTTAGACTTGTAAAGAGAAATAGAATTCTATCCTTTGGCTGTTCTTTGGGTCTATTGGTTATATTTCTAATTTCAAAGGTGTGCATTTTTTCTATGCCTTCAGAATTCCAAAGGGAAAAATGAAGCCTACTTTCCAGTAACAACTTTGAAAAATACCTGTTTTTACTGCTATATTTCATTAAAATGATCAGTATGTTGAAATTAGGCATTCTATAAGAAAACGTGTTCTCTCTCTCTCTATATATATATGGATATATATAATAGTTTAAATTCTGATGACAGTCTGACCTTTTTTACAATTCTGTGACATTCTACCATCATTCCAGAGATGTAATTAGAAATCTTCATATTAATATTTCCCACATAGTGGCACCTGCAATTAAAAATATTGACTGAGCTTCATTTTTTCCCTATGTACAGTGCAAATGTTGATAATGGAAAATGTAAAGAAGGATTTTCTAAAAACTTATGATCATGCTTTGTAGTGTTTGATGTTTAGTATACTAAGTCTTAGGACTTGCTATTGTGGAAGAAGTTAACTCACCAATATTTCCTTAATACAGAGAAAAATAAAAAGGAAACTTTACCTTCACAAAGAAGGTGAAAATCCTTGATTTACTTATGCTTTAGGAACATGAAGCAGCAAAGCCTCTATGCTACTCCAGTACAATAGAACTGCTATATTTAAAATAATCCTGTGACTCAGTTACTTCGCCATGTGTCACTGTTTTTGCAGGTTCAGAAATTCAGAGCTATCGTTCAAAGGCGGCAGGATCATTAAATATAAAATCTGTCCTTGTGTCTAAGGCCCAGGTTTTAGATTGATTGATTAAGCTTAAGTTGCTTTCAGATAGGTACATAATATAATCAGTAAGGATAAAGGATGGGGACTTGGCAATTCACTTGTGGTGTCATCATTTTGTGAAAAGTATCCATCATTTCTGTAGCCTTTGTGAAATAACACTTCATTTTCTAGAATTTCACAATATCTAATATCAAGATTTTGTAGAAATGTAAAAATGTGTAGGTTATCAGACAGCTGTTTAGAATGTCCATCGGCAATTCTGCCATAATGAGTTTTACTTGCAGTAATTGAACTATTTTTGGACACTGCAGCATCTTGTAAGTACTGTCTCCCTATGGACTTTAATGTCTTCTGATGATAAATATAGGTTAATCTTCTCTGGCTGAAAACAGGTATATTTAGGCAAAATTGCTATAGCTTTCCTTGAAGAAAATGACCCAGATTATATTCTACCTCAAAATCTCAAAGTATGAAATGTTCCATTATCAACATTTGCACTTTATGGCCTGGTGATGAAACGAATGTCATGGAAGGGAGCATAAGAGCATGAGTAGATCCTATAAGGTGGATCCTTAATCTGGGGGGGCACCCGCAGAAGCTGCCAATGGCAGTGGCCCTGTCATTGGGAGCACTAGCCCTACCAACAGGATCTGTGTTGGCTGTTGGGGGGGGGCACGAGCCCTGTCTGGGGGGCACGTGCACCCCCATGAACCCCCTACCAGTCAGCTATGCACAAGGGTCTGGCTTCTATTTCCAATACTATTTATGTATGTTATCCACTAGCCATGTCTACACAAGACAGTGACTGTGCAATCATTACTGCGGAGTCATTTAGTATAACAAGTACTAAATGTATAAACAAGTTTATGTATGACTTCTGCCCCTAGTTTAAATGACTGCACAGTAACCTGAGTTACTGCAAAGCAGTGCCAATGAATGCCTTTTTTGTGATGTGACTGCACAGTAGCCTAATGCTATTGCTTATTAGTGTTGTGTCATGGTTTTTGCCACACAGATTTCATAGATATTAG